TTATTATATCGATGCGCTATCTGATTGGCTGGTTAAAAATATTGAACTAAATGTCGCACTATGATTGGTTGATGATACTAATTTATCATAGTGGTCGCAGTTGGAATCCGCACAGTAACTTCAAGAGTTTCAAGGCACTAAACAGATTAGAATCATTGCATATTATTTTTATCTTTCATAGTTGTATCATGGAAAGAGGTCTTGTGACCAAGGTCTGGTCTATTCTTCAGTGGTTTGTATTCTCCTTTGCTGCTCTTGGCATATTTGCTATCAGTCTGGTGAGTGAGCAAATGTGCTTCAATAGACTATTTTCAAGTTCCAGATTACCGCTGTGTTTCTTGATTACAGACTCATTTACCCAGGCTTAGCCTCGATTTTGTGAAGAATATTCACGTGTTCCAGTCAAGGTCCGTCGAGTTTCAAAGTGTTTGTACTGTTGAAGTTGTGCATTCTTTACTTTACCATTGGTGTTTGGGAATATTTAGACACTGATTTGAGGCTAGCCCTGAGTAAATGAGTCTGTAATCAAGAAACACATCTGTAATTTGGAATCACACCAGAGACCCCAGAGGTGAGAGGGGAGTGTACTACTGCTACACCACCCTTGATTCGCAAGCATGTGAGGTAGATTTGATCTGGACCTCATCTTGTCATAAATATTCTGTGTCAAATAATGACTAAAAACTTCTTGAAATTCTTTCACCTTTACTGCCCACTTTTTTTCACTTAAACTCTAACTAACCTGATTATTCTTTCTTCCAACTCCAATTCCCTTCTATCTTTTTCCTACCCATCCTATCCCATGATACCTTGCATGTTCAAGGAACTTGGRTGATCTGTTTGTCTCTTTCTCACACCACAGGTTCCCTATACGGATATTGACTACGCCACGCAACAAAAAGTCTGGCCTCTCATCAAAAGATTGAAGCACAAGACTGATTATCTGGAGCTAGTGCACGCTTATGGGCTGTTTAGAAGGTATGGGGTTCCTGTGGCTTCTTAGAAAGAGAGGGGCTTGGTTTAGAAGGAATGAGGGAGGAGACATGGGAACCTCACCTGGGGTTCCTGTGGCTTAGAAATGGAGGGGCATGGGACATCACGTCCTAGTCTCAAATTTGGCCAATGCACTTTTTTAATTCAACTTTCCTTGCATGTCCCTCATGACCTCCTTATCCGTATTTTTATTGTTTTTTTTTTGTATTTTTTTTACTGGTTTCTAACTGGTTTTAATGTTATTGCTCAGCATGACTGGTGTTGGTGGCAGACCGGAAGTAATCGTTGAAGGAAGCAACTCATTGGAAGGACCTTGGAAGGTGTGTCGGGGGGTTATCAAATAGTCCACTTCCGAGATATGCTTCGCTTGTCACGCACAAAGGTTTCAGTATGAGGCTACGTGCTAAATTAAATTAATTCTTACCGCCTGTCACGAAT